ACCAATAGAGGTGCAGATGTATTGGTCAGATTAAGGCCATACTTAGCTGTCAGTACTTGAACCCACAAAGCGTCGGGAGAGGTCAACAAACCCCAACCCAATTTCATCAACAACGCCTTGTTCATATTCCGATGATCTTTAAACCCCAAACCCCCCGCCGCCTTGGGCCTGCACAGCTCCTCCCAACGCACCAAGTTGATTTTCTTTTGGGCTTCCGTACTACCCCACAAAAAAGGGCGACATCTCCTGTCAATGCTCGTGCAAACTGAGGATGGCATCCACGCAGTCTGCATCGCGTAAAAAGGAAAAGTATTCACCACTGATTGGATCAAAGTAGTTCTGCCCGCCAACGACAATGTCGAGCTCTTCCACCCAGAGAGCCGTGTCTCGGTCTTATGCAGGATGTTCGCATAGGTCTCGTGGTTCACTCTTCCGTGGATGATGGGCATACCTAAGTACTTCCCCAGATTATCAACACGATCGAATCCCAAAGAGCGGGCCATGTCCTGGGCAGTATCCGTGGGTACATTGTTAGAGAAGAAGATTTTTGTTTTTGGCATGCTGATTTTGAGTCCGGATTCGCGACAAAACTCATCAAGGACTTCCGTTAAAATATGGGTCTGGTCAGCCGTTGCCTCGGTAAACAAGAGAAGATCATCGGCGAACATTAAATAAGGGATCCGCACCTTACCCCGACCTAGAGATATCGGCCTCCATCTACCGTCGTCAACGTAGCGGTTGATGCTCAAAGCTAACCGTTCCATGCATAGAACAAATAGGTATGGAGAGATCGGGTCACCTTGGCGGACTCCCCGCGTCGGGGTGAAACCCTCACTGGCGCTTCCATTCCATGAGAGGTGCATGGTAGCGGAGGTGACACACGTCATGATACTTGTTACAAAAGCACGGGGGAAGCCAGCTAGAGCGAGAGTGCTTTCCAGAAAATCCCACCTCAAGAAATCGTAGGCTTTCTCAAGATCAACCTTGACGACCATATAGCCTTTACGACCCGCCAAATTTCGCATAGTATGAACTAGTTCCTGGGCAATTACAATGTTGTCGGTAATGTGCCTGCCTGGGATGAAACTTACTTGGGCCGGCCCAATTAAACGCGACATTAGCCCTTTCATTCTAGTTGTAAGCACCTTTGTTATGATTTTGTACACCACGTTCAATAGACTAATTGGCCGGAAGTCTTTGATTGTGCTTGGTTGGTCGACTTTGGGAATGAGCACGATTAGAGTCTTGTTTAATTACTGGGGCATGGCTCCCCCTTGCAACACTTGGCGAACAACCTTACATACCGACTTCCCCACTGTGCTCCAATTTTTTTTGGAAAAAGAGCGCATGAAGACCGTCCAAACCGGGAGCTTTTAGGGGATGCATAGAATTGAGGGCCTATAGTATTTCAGCTTCTGGTACAATTCTGGTAAGTCGCTGCCATTCCTCCGCGGACAGCACCGGGAAGACCACCGGGTTTTGCCTACCGACTGTTGGAGAAGAAGGGTCTGTCGTGTAGATTTTAGAGAAAAAATTTAGTGCTAGTTGCCTCAGGGTATTTTGATCCTCGATCATGCTCCCCTCATCGTTCCGTAAGGCCGTGATTTTATTCCGACGGCGACGATGCTTGACCGAGCGGTGAAATAAAGCCGTGTTGCGATCCCCGAATAGAGTCCAATCCCTGTGGGATTTTTGTAATAAGAGCACCTCTTCCTGTGCTAATACTTCCTCGAGCTCCGCGCTAAGGTCTCTCTCCATGTTGAGAAGACGGTCTGTGACATACCATTGCAAGTGCCGCTGGACTCCCCCTAGTCGAGCGAGTAAGTGTTTCTTACGAAGGAAAATGTTCCCAAAGACCTGATGGTTCCACTTTGTAGCTTCAGTAGAGAAATTATTAGCCGCCGTAGTGTAGTCAGGTGATGTCCATGATTTCTCGACCAACTCCCCTAATTTTTCATGCATGAGCCACGGTGCTAAGAACTTAAAAGGCTTCGGGCCCCACTTCACGACCTCCGAGTCCCGACCCCGAAGTAACATCAGCGGGATGTGGTCCGACTGGTGGCGCGGTAAGTGTGCGACTCTCGCCGAGCCAAAATGATCCAACCATTGTTCATTCGCTATTATCCGGTCCAACTTCTTCTCAATATTCGGCCCAAACCATGTATATTGGAAACCGTCGGTTTTGACTTCTAGAAAGTTGTTCTCAAAGCAAACGTCAGAAAAACTGGAATCAAAGGTGCGACTGCGTGCCCCCCCTCGTTGTTCTTTCGGGCTCAACGTGCAATTAAAATCCCCACCCAGGACCCATGGGGAATGAATACTACTCGCCAATGTGTCAATCGCATCCCACAGGACTCTTCGGCCTCTTGGGTTAGGACTCGCATACACGAAAGTGACCAAAGAGTCCCAAGTCGCGGTCTTCACAAAGGCGTGCACAAATTGCTTATGGCACTTAAGCACCGTTAACTCAACTCTATCGTTCCACAAAATCCAAATGCCGCCCGAGAAGCCCATGGCCTCCACACGGAAAGAGCGTTTATAACCACTCCGTTTCACGAATCTATCTGCTTTCTTACCACTAACTCGTGGTTCGAAAAGGGCCACCACATCGGGTTTATAACTAGCTTTGAGGGTTAAAGAGGTCTGGCTGAAAGTCCGCGAGCCAGCACCTCGAACATTCCAGAACATTATACTCATTGACACAAACTGAGGAGAGGGGGTGCTATCCACTAACAGTCATTACCCGCGACAGAGTTATCTGGTGTCTCCGCGACCATCGTATCGTCCTGCACGTCATCTAAACCAGGTGGAGATTGGAGGGGGTGATGCGAGCTCTCAATCATCATGGTGTCTCCGGGTTCGATTACAATAGGTTTCCCTACTGTCTCCTGGTTGTCCGAAATCTTTACAGTCGTGTGATAGGCTGGGTCTAGCCCCGAGTCAGCAAGGAGTACCTGAGTCGTTTCCTGAAGAGCCAAATCCACCATGTCCGCTTCGGGCCCAAAGTGACCCCTTGCATTACTGCTCATATGTCCCTTCCCCATATGACCCATTGTTGTACACCCTCTCGTTTTCTCTACTGTTCTTGTTGAGCTGCCCATATGGCTCGTTACTCTCGGGTTTCTCTCCTCCTCACTCAAACGGTTAGGTGTGTCGCTTCCCTCCTTAGAGCTCCCGCCACCTTGCCCGATTACAAGGGTTCCCTCAGTCCCATCGTGACCACGTGAATCCCCCAATTTTGCTTTCCCTCTATCTTTCTTAAAATCGGCTATAGGTCTCCACTTTTCTTTCAACCCCCGTTGTGTCGCCCCCTGTTTTGTGGAGAAAACGATGGTTGCCGCTTCTTCCTGTAAGTTCCCAAGGGAATCGAAACGTGTTCCCACCTTGAAAGCCACCCCCTGTTTAGTATTTTTATTATCATTCCCGCCGGGATTTTTTCCTCCTCATGTTCTTCGCCCTTTTTGCGCCTGCATCCACGGACCGTAAGTGGGGTCTTTATGAGTGGCGGTTTCTGCGGCCCCTGATTTATCCATTTTCTGTCCTGTGTTATCTCCGGGAGCATTTGCAGCTTTGGAGGTGTTTGGTTCAGCCCGCTCCGGGCAGCTCCCGAGTTGGTGTCCATAACGGCCGCAGTGATAGCATATTTCAGGGAGGCTCTCATATTCCACTCTCTGTTGTTTTCCTTGGATGGTGAAGTGAGCACACAAAGGTTTAGATAGGTCGAGAAGGACAGCAATTCGCGCAAATTTTCCCCTTGTTTGCGTTGCGGTTTGGTAGTCAATTTTGACTACTTTTCCCACTATTTGACCAATGGACCGGAATATTTTCTTGTGGTAAAGATGCACCGGCATGCCCGGCAGGCGAATCCAAGCAACAGTTTTAGTGATTTTGTCAGCTTGCTCGTCGAAGTGTTCAGTCCATGGTTGGACGTGCAAATAGTGCTTGTTGATAACCCATGGACCTTCAACTAGGGCTTTCAAGGCATCCTCCTTGTTGTTGAATTTGACGTAGAAATAACCGTTTTCCAAGTCCACCAAAGGGCAGTCCTGGATGAAAGGCCATAAGGTTACCAATCGTCTGTGCATCATTGGCATACTCATAGTCAATCCCAAAAGTTTGATGACAACCACATTTTCCCAAGATGTTATCAATGATTCCTTGAAGGATGAAGAGAGTTGTATGTCAGGCGCAAGGCAGCTATAATCGATGGTAACGTCGTCATCCTCCTCGGGTTCCTTGTCCTCCTCCAAGGGTAGAGTGACGTGTGGCCGAGTGTTTGTTAGCGTGTCACGGAAGCTGACCCTAGCTCCGGCTGGAAAGGCGTTCGGTGCAAGCGTGGGTTTGCTAGTCCCGGTAGAGAGATTACCGGCTACTGCAGGTTGCTGGCCGTAATTCTTGGTAAAAGGAGAGATCGGAGAGTTAACCCTAGGCGAGGGTTGTTCCAATTGGTCCCCTGTTCTTTTTAGGGTTCTTGGTTTCTTCAGAGATCTTGAGTGCGCTAGAGGCGGCGGGTAGGCCTTCAGCAGTTCAGGGAATTCCTCCTGCACATGGCATAGAGAGCTGTCGCCGGGATCGAAGTTCCTCAAGGGGTCGTCGGGAGCGTTTGCAGAGTCTTCAGCCATTTCTTTCTATCTTTTTTGGTTAATGCCATTCTTAAAACACAATAAATATATAAATAAACTAAAGTACGACATTTTATTTTATATTAAGAAAATAAGAGAGTTTGTATGACGGGTTGACTCGACTATGCCTTCTGCCAAAAACACTAGTGATCAAAACTAGAACTCACAACATCTTTGGATTCTTGCAAGTTAGTTCTATCTCTTCATTACCACCTCGTTGTGTCCCTTCTGATTGATGTTTGCCTTATTGCCTATGCATTTTTCATGCAAATATTTCATTAAACAGAGAATAAAATGTCATGGTACATGACCAAATCAGCTACATGTTTGTCAAATTCCATGCATGAAGCATCAGATTCTTGAATCCAATTAGATTGATTAAATATTATCCGATTCATCCATTCGATCTTCTTTTTCTGCTTCTTCTTCCCGGCTTCCAATTGATTTTGTATTTGTATTCTTCCCCACCAAATCGCCCTCGGGAAAGTTCTCCACGCTGACATCATCTGGGTCCTCATTTGTTCCGGAAACTTCTACTGGCTTCGTGCTGTTTTCTATCTTCATAATACTTGGTGGACTCTCTTCAGCAGTTTTCGTATTCGAGCTGCCGGTCATAATCAGCGCATCCCGATTCTCGCCTTGGTAATAATTTCCCAGTTTTCCTTCTTCGTTTATCTTTTTCCACTTCGTTCCCATAGACCTTCTTAAGAAACTTTGTCTCCCTCGAAACTGAAAGCCTTCGACATTTTCTTGAATTTCCATTTTCACCCCATTGTCACTCGCGCCCGTCTCTTGATTGGCAGTCGATAATTCTTTTACGTCCGCAGTATTCGTTGGCCTTTTGTGCTCGTTTTTCTCTTTGTCCATTTGTTCTCCATTTTCACTTTCTTCTACACTCTGCATAGGAACTTCCCTCAAGGAACTATCCTCTACATTACCATTATTATTACGCTTATTATTATAATTATTATTTCCTTCTTCGTCATGCGCGATGGCCGTTTGATTAGCCAACGTCGTGATCGAAGGCTCGTTTTTGCTCTCGGCACATGACCGGAGATGGTTCTTGAGTTCCTCGATTTCGGATTCCTTGCGGCGTGATGTCTCGATTAGGGCTGACTTGGCCTCGTTTTGGGTCTCGTGCAAGTGTAGCTCGATGGCCCGTTGTTCGTCTTTGAGGGAAGATATGGCGGACTGCATGCTCGAAATGCGGGCATTGAGGTTCGTGTTTCGGGCACGAAGGTTATACATTTTGGTCCTCATCTCCTCTGTTTTCCTCTTGATTTCTTGAGAGTGGTCTTTTTCTTTCTGTACTTAGATTGGACAAAGAAAAAAGATGGAGACAATATTTATGTATATATCAGCTAAAATGCAGGTATTCAATTTACTGCATTTTTTAACACATACTAAATGTGATTTCAGAAAAAAAAAAAAAAATACATACACAAAATTTATTTTAGTAAAATAAAAAAATTCTTAAAAAGTCTATTATATTTATAAAAAAATCTTAAAATATCATTAGAAACAATATATCATTCAAAATTAGAAACAATACACCTCTTATTCTTCAGATTTGGTAAATTATGTCCAAAACACACATCAAATTACCGGAAAGGCTATGGTCCCGTTACAAAACCGTCGGAGTTCAGAGATAGTTGATCTAACGGTTACAAATCCCGACGGCTGTAGCATCTTCCCAAATTACCTCTTCACTATAATACTAACAAATATCATCCCACATATTTGGGTGATTTCCTTTCACTTAATTAATTAAGAATAAAATGAAATAGCAGTAACAATTAAACAAGGGAAGAACACAAATTAAATAGGCAAAGCCAGTTAATTAACCTGGAGGAGGAGATGAAGGGAGAGGATTTGGCCATCTTTCTCCTTGATCAAACGGTCGAGAAGGCGTCTCTCCTTGAGCCTCTGTAGACCCACCACACCCAACAACAGCCCACACCCACACACCAATGCTATTATGGACATGGGCACATACACATTAGCCCACCTTCTCCTGTAGTACCCTCCATGGCTATGCCCATTATTTGTTGTTCTCATTTTCACTTACACCCCATCAAAACACACACACACACACACACAATGTGTGTTTTTAAGCAAAGAGAGAGAGAGAGGATTAATTAGTGACTAATTAATGAGGGGGTTATTAATTATAAGTTTATTTATTTTTTATTATCTTATTAATTATAAGTTTATTTATTTTTTATTATCTTATTTTTTGGGTCACAACTCACATGCATGAGAATTGAGAAGTTGCTCCTCATGTAAAAAGTGCTTTTCAACAGCTTCTTCTCTCGTTTGCACGCATATAAACACATTTTCCCGTCATGCACTCTTGTGTAATTTAGAGCGTGTTTGTATACAAATATTTTCGTTTAAAATGAGTTTTTTTTGTTTTTTAATCATAGTTATTTGAAAAAATTAAGTTCCGGGTCAATCAACAGATTAGTCAGGGCATAGCTCTGGATATCGTGGTTAGCTAAAAAAAAAAAATATGTAGAATAACTAATCTTGAGTGGAATTTTTAGTTTTCGTATTAAAATAATATTTAGAATGAAATAAATAAAGTTGATTTGAAGTGGAAGTATAAGAAAGATTATATGATGTGACTGAGTAATGCTCCCCTACGGTAGACACATGTTAATATATCCACCGTTTATGTGGCATGCACACATTGGTGATGTTAATATGTTCAAAAAAATGCATCACCAATGTGTGAATGTCACATAAGCGGTGGACATATTAACATGTGCTCACCGTAGGTAGGGGAGCATTACTGATGATGTGATAGTTAGTTAAAATTATTTTTAATCTGGGGAAAGCTACAGTCTCTGGTTCCGTTATTCTTTTTAAGCGTTGATTACCTACACATCATCATCATTGATCTACATATGTATCCACAGTTTAAAAAACAACGAAACCATCCCGTAACAGATTGTAACATTCTCCCTAATTAACTAATAATCGAGGCGGTATAAACGAGAAACCTTTGTTCTCTGCATTTAATTTTTTTCCTTTGGCACCACTCTAGCTAAAGCTAATCTGACCCCTTGTGTAAAGTTAAATTAACTAATTGTGAGGGGGTTTGGTTTTAAAAAATGAGTTTCAGTCTAATCATCAATATATTTATTATATATTATATTATTTTAAAAACAATATTACTTTTCTAAAAAATAAATACTTATAAACAGAGTCATATATAATATAAAAGTAAATACGATATTTAATAGTATAAGAATATATATTTTTTTTATTAATGTATCAACTAACAAGAAATTTACTTATTAAAAAAAAAAAAAGAATTGATAGGGTTTTAATGGGTGGGTTGGGTGAAGTTGCAGGAAAATTAAAGGCGTGCTAAGATCCACCGCATTTGCTGAGCAATAGGAGGAGAGGATTGCACTCTTTATTAGCTGCACCTTTACGTTTGACTGTATTTGGCTCAATTTTCTTTATTCTGATCTCAAATTAAGTTTAATATTTTCATTTTAAAAAATTAAAAAACTGATTTTTTTCTTTTATTTTATAAATTGAGGCATTGATTAAAGTTTCTGACAAGTGAATGATCTGTGTGGCATATTTTTCTTCGTGCATAAATGTATTAAATATCATGTCTTAAATTCAAATTAGAAAATTGTGTCAAATTACACTTGAAAATTGAAATAAAGATACTCCCTCGGGTTCATAATATATCTCGTTACGAGAAGTTACACAGTAATTAAGATTTTTTTTGTCAATAGTAACCTTATTTAATCAAGATAGAGATGGATGTTTTGGGAAAAATATGAAGAGTAAATATGAAAGGCGTCATGTATTTATTAGTTAAATGAGAGTAATAATGAAAAAATATGTACAAAAAACCGCAACGTCATTTATTTTTGGTTAATAGTTGATAAGCCGTATATCTTTGGTTAATACTACCTCCTATTTTTTTAAATGTCATTTTGACATTATCAACTATTAACAAAATAAATGTTGATTTAGATATTTTGTACATATTTTTCCATTATTACTCTCATCTAGCTAATAAATACACTATGTCTTTTCATATTCACTCTTCATCTTTTCACAAAATATTCTACTCTATCTTCATCAATGAGGGTTATTATTGGCAGAAAAAATATTTTTAATAACTGTGCAACTTCTCAAAACGACACTTATTAAAAATAGGAGGGAGTAGTTGATTTGGGTGTTCTTGTGGCTAAGGGTTGGGTCGGACTCCCGGGTTTGGTTCGAAGTTTGGGTACAACTTCGGTTAGGTGGTTTACGACAGTTTCAAAAGCAGTTTCTTAGGCCGAGGATCTCTCTTGGGGGTCGATTTTTTGTCTACTAGAGTGGCTCGGTTTTTAGCTAGTTTCTTATTTTTATGTGTTTCTTTGTTTCTATGTTTTTTCGTAAGATTTGTGTTTTTGGTTTGGGTTGTTGGCCTCTGTATGTGCTCGAGTGTGAGTGGATATTACTCTGTTAGGGTCTTTTTTTTTCTAATTTTCCTCTTGGGAGCTTTTAGTGTATGTAATCTGTTGTGTTTTTAGGGTATTACTTGGTTCTAGGCGGTCTTTTGATATGTCATCTCAGTCTATTCAGTCATTGGTTGTTATATTCAGTTGTTGGTTGTTGTATTCAACTACTGGTTGTACTTTTGCACATTTGTACGTTTTTATAATATCTCTATCGTTTCGAAAAAAAAAAATATTAAAATTATAATGCTTACTGTCTTGAACTCTTGATAGCATGCACGGCAGAAGTTTACCGACTCAATCGGGCCTATGGCTAATCCCATTAATGGACTTCAATCATCGGCCCTGAGTTTTCTGTTCTAGATGTTTTATTGGGCCTCTCGAAATAAGGCCCCAACAATATATCTCGTCAGAAATCACAAATTCACAATTACATATGACGAAAAAAACAAAAAAGAAAAGAGGAAATTACATCCCATACTTCATCTCCCCTAAAATATTATGAATATACCACCATTAGGTAAATAATTATACAATCACCAAAAATATCATAAAATATTGCTAATTTACCTAAACTAATGGTGTAGCAGTTATTTTTCCGATAATTAATGAATATTACACCCGATAAGGACGTTTCCTTTTATCTTGCCACAATTGGGGAAAAGAAAATATTTTCCACAGAAAAAAAAAAAACCCGTCTATGGCGATAACCAAAATCGCCCGCCAGAATCGAAGAAAAAAGGCGAACGACGGCAAAGAAACACCGCAGATAAGGTCCAGTTCCCGGCTTCGGAAGATCATTTCAAAATCAAAGCCCAAACTCGTTCAGAAAAAGCTTGTTTTTGAGAGGAAAACGAACCCTAACCCTAGTCGCAAGTCCAACACCAACGCAAATATGAAGAATCAAGTTCCATCCTCTGATTCAGACGACTTCCAGTCCGACCACGACCGTAAAAATCCCAAAAACATACGGCGGTACTCTAAATCCAAAATCCCCAATTCCACTGAGAAGGGTAATTCTTCCAACTCCGATTTTGAAGATGAAATCCAAACAGAAGACGTCTCTAGTGAAGAATACTTGAGGGAAGAGGAATCCCCGGTGGAAAATTTCAACAAAAGGAACAAAAAAAGGATTCAAAATGAGAAAGGGGAAGTAAATCTGAACAAGAAAAGGAGAAAACCGAACACAGGCGTGAAACGCATTCAGAAGCAGATAGTGTTTAAGGTAATTTTTTTTTTCATTGTCATCACACTGATCGTTGACTAAATAAGCCTGTCTCTGTAGCCCTAATTTGATGAATTTTTTATGTTTTTGATTTTTTTGTTTTAATTTTTGTCATGTTTTTGTCACACTGTTAGATGAAAATGACTAGTGTGTGCTTTTTTCATTTTATTCCATGTGCTGATCTGTTCAATCTTTCAGTTATAATTTTATAATTCCATTGCTGCTCCTTTGTTTAAGTCATTACATGATATGAGTTTTGATAATTATGTGGTATATGTACATAAGACATACACCAAACATATACTCTATGTAGTGTATATATCTGATTAATATATTAATCCTTCTTGGAAACTGTTAAGCAGACGATGAATGTATGATTACCTGCAGAACAGAGTATATATCTGTTATATGTATGTGTTCCCATTTTTTCCATATTCAATTTCATCCTCTTTCTCCCAAGAATGAACCTTGATAATTTTGGAGGTAAAAAAAAAAAACTCATAAGCAGAATAGTGTTGGCATATTATATGTCAAGTATATGGAATTTGTTTTTTTGGACAAGTATGCTGTATATTTGTCACAGACATATACATTACATATACTCACTTAAGTGTAAAACATCATTACACATATGCTATTTAATCTGTGGGACAGTTTTTTTGAACAATATGATCAGTATATGTCAGTATTCTACATTATTGTGTATAAAAAAATCTATATTTATTTCTTTTCATTTTTTTTTTCAGGAGTGGGAATTGCTGATCCCTTATCCAAGGGATATAAATGTGAAGGTGCAAAACAGTAACGACAACAGCAAAGAGAAATGCACGATAAGTGACATCAAGAAAACGTTGACGAAGGAGCAATTGCAAGCTTTCAGAATGTCAGCGTTTGGGAAGTTCCTTGATCTGCCACATTGCATTGTCCAGAACCAGCTGGTAAACTACATACTTCTACGCGAGGTTCACCAAGCTAGGACAGATGAGATGTGGTTTGACTTCGGAGGGAAATTCATCCGATTTGGTATAGAGGAATTTGCTGTTGTGACTGGGTTAAAGTGCAATGAACTTAGTAAGAAACTGAACATTCCAAAGATTGCCAATGGTCTGCATGACAAGTATTTTGCTGGTCTTGAATTAACTCGGAGCCACATCAGATGGCAGTTTCTGAAAAAGTTGTGGGCGAGCGATGAAGATGCTGTGAAATTTGCTAAGTTGCATTTCTTAGCAAATTTCCTCATGGGCTCTCAAGATGCTCTTCGCATAGACCGCTGTTTCGTTGACATGATTGACAGCCCAGAGTGTGATGATTACTCGTGGGGAACTGCTGTTTTTCAATTCACTCTACTGTACCTGAAG